CCCAAGTGCAACACCTTTTAAAGTGTTATTAAATTTTCACTGGATTATTCATTTAATAAAAAAGACTTGCAAACGATTTGCAAAACGTGTCTCACATCGAATAGAACGTACGTCAAGCTGCATAATCGACGGAATGTCTTTGGAACTGCGATTCAATTTTAATGGGACAAGACAAACTCTTGAACGTTGAAACTTGCTAATTAAGAAAACAAATGATCCCCAGCCTGCGTCCTTTAATTAATCGCCGTGGAATCTTGTTTTCAGCCTTGGGCATAATTATCTCCGCGAAAGCTCGTCCATTTCGGGTCATACCAACTTACTCAATTACGAAATTCGAAACTTGACAAACCCCCCCACCCTTTCGCCTACTGCCCGCGGTTCAATAGAGCCAATTAACGGGTGTATCAAAGTTTCCGCGCAATTAAATCTGATCAAGTATTCAGTATTATAAAAGCTGTTGTTACCAATTTAGGCGATGAGTCCCACTATCTCCCTGATCGATTTACGTCCGACTAATAGACGGTTAAAAAATGAGATTTTCAGAAAAAGAGAATCGCAATTAAAATTGGCGGATCCAATTTTCCGGCGTCCGCGAGGAATAGCGTTTTCACGCCTAAGAAGAATTTCCTATATAAATTCATGAGATACCGCCTCCCCAATTTTCTCCAATAAAATAGCTCCCGCTAGATAAAAAATAGAGCAAGCGCGGGTATTTAGCATTTTTTTCATCGTTCGGTAATCAATAACCGGCCGGGCGAGAGCCTCGTTCATTTCCACCCCCGTCGACGGAATACCCGGCCGTTTCCGATCGGCCAACCCCCTAACGGAATGCCCGTACAATTTTTAATAGTCTTACGATTTTTAATGCGTTCTCATTAATATTCCCCATTATAATTTATACATATTTCCCCATATATTTAATATTTATATATATTATTTTAATGTTTCTCGATTAGAAGGTGTGAGATTGAGGGATATTATGTTTTTTTTTAAAAAGTGAAAGTCTAATAATGGCCTCGCGCTTGCGAACTTCGTCAACCGTAATGTCTTATACTTAAGTTTTAATTGAAAATACAGTAGGAATTTGTTTTTAGTTTATGCAACATCACTGTCGTTGTATGTGCACTTTATTAATCAACCCAGTTCCTACCCTTGAAATATAACAGAAGGGATCGTACAATGAAACCGTCTAATCATACTTAATAATCGTAATTGCAATAATTATACTACAATTGTAATAAGGATGGATCCAACAATTTTTTGTTCTCGCAAACATTTGATCACGTTTATTCGCCAGATTCTCTTTCACAATCGGCGATAATAGACCGGTTCACGAATCGTTAGCTGTTAATTAACCGAAACTGCGCGACCAATTAGCGATTCCCGGTAGCGCGAGTCAATAATTTAAGTCGCGAAAGTTCACCGAATACCGATAACCGCGTCCGCGTGCACGTTGTATTCGAATTACCCCGGGCGACGTCACTCCCTAAATTTCAGTGGCATAAATGAAATCGGAAAAGCAACAGTTCCAT